CGGTTTCAATATCCAACCACCACCATCTGGTATATACAGCCCCTGGTCCAGGCCCTAGGCAGAACCAATCCTCCGCCACTGCTCTGCTCTGCTAAGTTTATAGATCTCCTGATTGTTGGTGAGAGCTCCCACTCCAGCCGCCAAGAAGGGCACTGGAGGAAAACCCGGTGTCTCATCTCACCCCAGCATTCGAAACCCCGACACCCCGACCTACTTCACCGGGGGGGGGGGGAAAGACGAACCACAAACGAGTGAAGCTGCTGCCAGAGCAGGGGGCGGGGACCAGCGGTGGGATCTGAACACACATCTTCCACATCTCTCCGATATATAGCTAGAGTATGTGCTGTGTGTGTATATATGTATGTTGTTACAGGGTGGTTAACTTCGCCAGCGGCCCCCTTTCCCGGGGCAGTCCCTGCTCTCCCCTGCTAGAGGGGCACCCTAATCCGTCACCCCATCCGACTTCAGAATGTATTCGTTGAGTTCGGCAACTCACCACCAGCATCCAACCAAATCTAGCGGATCAACGGCGCATCAACTTAGTTCCTGGTCAGCTCGCAAGTTGATATTATCACGTCCTACACCGTCCATAAGATGGGGGGCCACCTCCCATTTCATCACTCCTCAAACACCCGAGGAGCCGGCAGGCGGATTTGAACCCGGGTCGACTGGGTCAACTGGGAGCAGAAGTCAGGCCTTAACCTCTGCCAGCCGCCTGCCTATATATATATGTATGTATGTATGTATGTGCGTGTGCGATTGGGTTGACGAGAGAGAGTATAGTAGAAGTTGACAAACAGACACACAGACATACGCATACACATACATACAAATATACATACACACATACATATACACATATACCCACATAGCACATACTCCTTGCGGCGAGGAGGGGGGAAAACTTTGTGGGACGGTGAAGCGCCCACACCAACAGAGGGGGCGGACGGGAGGGTATTTCCCCCCTTTCACCATTCCGTACTACCATGACGTCAGCCAGCCCGGGGCACGATCCCCAGTGCGTTCACGCACATATCCGATACACAGTCGTACAACTCCCCCCCCTCGGGCCCCCCCCACCTGGTGCCTGAATGGCGGTGAGGGCCTCAAACAAGCACCACACGCGGGTGGGGGCGATGGGGCTGCGCCAGCTGCGGAGGGGGGAAGGGGGGAGGGAAGGGGGGCCCGGCAGGCAGTGAAGGCAGTGAAGGCAGTTTACATCCAGTTCCTAAACCCGCACACACACACACACACGCACACACACATACACACACCGGCTCACCCTACAAGACGCCCTCCGCCCCGGCCGTACACAATCGTCCTCCACATGACACAGCTGCTACTCCTGCTACTACTGCTGCTACTGCGGCTTCCAATACCGGTCAGTCTGTTGAGCCCGATCATGACCTCCATGTTTGCCGCGATGTGGTGATATAATGTCGCCGCGAGATCATGTTACCCCCGGCCCCCAAAACGCCCTGACGCGTGTGTGCACCTACGCCGCGTCAGTACACAGCGCCCGTACACTTACACATACACACACACACGTAGTGTCTTTACGTCAGCCTGGCGCCTCCCCTCCCGCACCTTCCCCCCCCGGGCCCCTCCCCTCCCGCACCTCCCCTGCCCTGACCCAACCTACGGGTGCATCGTGAACAGCACCGCCTTGCACTGCTTGATGACGCCTGTGGAGTCGTTTCGGTTAGTTGGATGGTTGGTTGGTTGGATGGGGGCGGAGAGTAAATCCTTGTGGGAGCAGCTAAAGGAAAGTGATGTAGCTGTAGCTGGGTGATGTAGCTGTAGCTGGGTGATGTAGCTGTAGCTGGGTGATGTAGCTGTAGCTGGGTGATGTCGCTGTAGCTGGGTGGTGTAGCTGTAGCTGGGTGATGTAGCTGTAGCTGGGTGATGTAGCTGTAGCTGGGTGATGTCGCTGTAGCTGGGTGATGTCGCTGTAGCTGGGTGGTGTAGTTGTAGCTGGGTGATGTCGCTGTAGCTGGGTGATGTCGCTGTAGCTGGGTGGTGTAGCTGTAGCTGGGTGATGTAGCTGTAGCTGGGTGATGTCGCTGTAGCTGGGTGGTGTAGCTGTAGCTGGGTGATGTAGCTGTAGCTGGGTGATGTAGCTGTAGCTGGGTGATGTAGCTGTAGCTGGGTGATGTCGCTGTAGCTGGGTGGTGTAGCTGTAGCTGGGTGATGTCGCTGTAGCTGGGTGATGTCGCTGTAGCTGGGTGGTGTAGTTGTAGCTGGGTGATGTCGCTGTAGCTGGGTGATGTAGCTGTAGCTGGGTGATGTAGCTGTAGCTGGGTGATGTAGCTGTAGCTGGGTGATGTAGCTGTAGCTGGGTGGTGTAGCTGTAGCTGGGTGATGTAGCTGTAGCTGGGTGATGTAGCTGTAGCTGGGTGATGTAGCTGTAGCTGGGTGATGTCGCTGTAGCTGGGTGGTGTAGCTGTAGCTGGGTGATGTCGCTGTAGCTGGGTGGTGTAGCTGTAGCTGGGTGATGTCGCTGTAGCTGGGTGGTGTAGCTGTAGCTGGGTGATGTCGCTGTAGCTGGGTGGTGTAGCTGTAGCTGGGTGGTGTAGCTGTAGCTGGGTGATGTCGCTGTAGCTGGGTGATGTCGCTGTAGCTGGGTGATGTAGCTGTAGCTGGGTAAGGTGTATTTATTTGGGGGGGGGGGTAACATGCCGCTGATCAGCTGCAACGACTGGGAGGGAAGGAAGAGCGACCCGCGGGGGGACCCGGGCTTCCTCGGGCCCCCCGTTAGTTCCAACACTCCCCCGCCAGGCATACAGACATACAGACATGCATACGTAAGGACATACCCGCAAAGTCGTAGTCCGGGTGGTCCTTGATATCTCCCGTGAAGTGCTGCAGCGAGGATAGCAGTGGTTGCAGCAGTAGCAGCAGTAGCAGCAAGTGTTAGCAGCAAGACAAATGGCCGCATGCAGCACTACAGAGCAAAACAGCTAGCAGCAGTAGCATAGCAGTAACAGCAGCAACAACAACAGCAGTAGCAGCAGCAGCAGCAGCAGTAGCGACGATGCGGCAGCACGGCCAGCCCCACCAACCGGCATGTGGACATGTAAGGTCCGAAGCAAGCCCATGACGTGCGGTGTGCAAATCACGCACTTCTCCCCTATCCCCTGTATATATGTATACATACATATCATATATATGCGTATACATACATACATACATACAGAGGCAGCCGGCTACGGTCGCGGTTATTGTCACGGCTGCCAATCGCTCTGCCTGCTCGGCAAGGCCCACGTGACACGATGCGACGTGAGACGGGTAGGTGCCACGTCCCAACTGATCCCCTTCCCCCCCTCCTGCCGCCTCCCCCGCTGCCCCCTGTCTGTACCCTGCGGCCAACATTTCCCTTCATCCTTTACGGGTATCGCTTGTACCTGAACCGCAACGAAAAATCGTCCGGCATCCTCTCCCCCTCCCCCCCGCGGACTCGAGCTCGGGTTTTCCCCCCCTCCCCCTTCCCAACATCCTCCCGAATGACCGCAGCTCATATCTCATCCCGCCACCTTTCCCTCCCTCCCTGCCTCTCTAGCCAGGCAGGCAGAGGCCTCTCTAGCCAACTCCCCCCCCACCCCTCTCCTGCCCCCCACCTGCGTCACCGCCAAGATATCCACCCAATAGAACCAAGGGATGAACTTGGCCCCGCCCTTGGTACCCGGCAGCTGGCAGTAGTGGTTATCCAGCATGGACACAAGCGCACCGAACTTGTAAGTCCAGGCGTGGCTGGCGAAGAAGCGGGCAGGGCCGAACACCTGACAACACGGGCGAGAGGATGGATGGCCGTGTGGCCGTGTGGGGCAGCACGACAATGCATAGACGATTGACGAAAAGACAAAACCGTAGACGGATGGGGGCGGGCGGGTGGGGGAACGGGGTGGACGGGGTGGCAGGCAGAAGAGGGAATCCTAAAATCCATCTCTGGGGACGCTGGCGGGCCCCCCCCCCGGGGGGGAGCGAGGTGGGTGGGTGGGGGGAGGTAAAGGGGAGGGGGTGAGGAGGATGCGAACGGACACACAAGCAAAATAAGGAATGGAATGGAATGGAATTTATACATTTCGGCGCCGACTCAGGACGTTTTGATGATTCACATGTCAGCTGGAGCCCCTAGTCAGCGACACTGGCATGGCTTGCCGAGTCCCGCTAAAGGATAATTTGGCCCCGGCGTGTGCTGTGTCAAGCACTTGTGTAGCTGTCCTGACTCCCGCTGTAAGAAGTGCTTTATGGACTGGAGGTACTGCCGAGGAGCGTGCGGCGGCGGCCGCACACGAGCAGCAGCGGCATGGTGGGAAGCCTGATGCTTAATGTACGGCATGAGCAGTATGTGGTACAACAACAGGGCGAGGTGGGTTGTACCTTACCTGACATGAGGCAAAACAAGGAGGAACGGGAGAGACCCAAATCGGGACATGGGGTTATGAATGCATTCCCAGGCTATTCAGCAACGCAGCGCGCTCGCGAGCAGAGTACCTTTTGTTCCTCGCCATCGACTACTTTCATGATTCCCGCGGTGCACCATGATTGAGTGTATTTGGGGGTCAGCTGCCCCCAAAGCATACATTCGGTGAAGCTGCGTTTCGCATGTAAAGTGGCTGGCCGAATGAATTGCTGGACCACCTGAGGCCATCCAAGGAACCGCAGCGATTAGCTGGTTGGCGCTTTCGACTCATCACGAATCGTTGCAGTGAATGCAAACTTACCTGGGCGGTTGTCAGGTCGCCCAAGCAGCCTGTGCCGCCGGGCACTTTCTCCTGAGCTAGCTTTCGAAGGAAAAAGGGATGAACAGCGCGCTGTGCTAGAGGAACCGGCTGAGGCATCGCCTATTCGGCACTCTTTGAGTGCTACCCTTGCAGGTGCTTTACACGTTTCTGCTTCTCGCTGCAATGGCGTTCAAGAGGGTGCGTCCCATGGAGTAACGAGTGACATGGGACGTGGAGAAAGAACTTCCTGCCCCGATCAACGCTGTTCAAACCTTCCCTGCCTACATGGAATTAGTTTAAAATGTGCAAAAGGGTAGAGTCCGTCACCGGCTGTGTGCATCGCCAGTACGTCCCTGTCAGCTCACGCAATGCTTACCTAGTCAAGCCAGGGTAAAGCCTTAACCTCTAAAGCTAAACCATGTAACGGGTTGCATAACACAAGGAAAGGTAATCCCGGACTAGCCCAGAGGCAGGAGCCGGATAGATATCATGGGTAAAAGAAAGCAATGAAGCATTAGAGTTGGATGCCTACAGATGTACCATGAGAAAGAGCGTCAATGTGCAAGCGATGACTAGCGATAGATATTTTAGTCGGACAGAACACGAAAAGAATGGCTACTACAACGCGCTAAGTAAAGCATAGCAAAGACGCACACGTTCATATTAAAGCATAACACAAAAACGAAGGACACCTCGCCTCGACTCGACTCCTACATCTGTACAACTGGGAGAGTCTAGCACCTCAGCACCAGTCAAGCGACAAAAGACACCAGAAGAAAACTAATGCAAATAAGTAAGGTAACTCGGATGTATATAATCAAGCACTCAATAACATGCGATGTTGTCGAAAAAGGTTCTGAATGTTAGCAGACACTTCCTACATGCGTTTGTCCCGCACATTCAAGTCTGCCACTTAAGTAGCTTATCATGCACGACCCATTAACACAATAATCTACACCGTCCTACTGCTGAGCGGTGACTTGGTGTCCTGGTGACCTGGTCTGTAGAGGTAGCAAGGTCGTTGCATTTTCCGTCATAGCAGCAAAGCTCTGACATGCCGCCCTTCCTGCCCAATCTGCAATTCGTTTTCAACGTCCCCATCCCAATACCACTTCAACACAGATGAAAATAGGGTTACGCACACACGAAAGCTTGTCCAAGGTCTGTGGACAACTGCGTGCAACCAGCGCCCCCTCTTCCATATCCATCGTCAAGCACAGAGCACTAATCGACCTAGTGAAAGTCTTCGAAATGTGCCGAGCGGGCCCCCGCTGATGCGCTTGTCCAGGGCACGGCAAGCAAGGGGGCCAAACTCGTGTAATGCACAGCACGTGTCGAGCGAGGGCGCTAACCGTGCCACAGCACTCGCACTCAGCGCGTCACGCGGCCCGAGGTCGGTGGCGACGATGCAGATTTGGCATGTCGTGAGCTGTGTGACCCGACGGCTCTTGAGGTTGTGTGCTTGTGTGTTGCCCGCCGAACGCAAAGAGTGCCAATGTCCATTCTTTTACGCGGCAAGGGTAAAGGGTCTCATGCGAGGTAGTTGGCTAAGCTGTGTCAGCTAACGGGCGTTAGTGCGCTCCTGCCTCCGCTGCCTTCACCCGGAAGACGAAGGACCCCTCGAGCACAAACACGCACACACACGCATATGTATACATATACACATTTCTGTGCTCCTGTCTCCCTTAATCGTATTCCCACGGCTCTGCCGAATCTGCCGTCCTTGCCGACCGTGCTTTGGATGGTTGGGAACGGGAAGCGGGGAGACCAGCTGCCAAGGGCCCTTACACTGCAGAAGAACGCAGCCCCAGCCAGCCATGGCCGCACGACTGCAGTCCACCGGCCGCCACGCCTCCACCGTGCGGCCCGCCAACGCCCCACCCCGCGGGCGACGCGCGCGCGACAGAACGACACCCAACACGCCACCAAAGAACTCCCAACGACCACCTGATCAGGCTCTCGCGAGGTGGCTCCTACCACCTGAAGCCCGGAAGATCCCCGGACTGAGCCCCCCTTGCGACAAGCACCGCCCATCCTGAGCTCCCAAAGCTCTACGACTAGGCGACTAGGCGGAAAGACTCGACCTCAACGAACCCCCCCTCCCCAACCCACCCCCTCCCGGCTGGCCGGCTGTCCAGCCGCCCCTCAGCGGGCGTCTGCCACTGGCCCGCCGCTGGCCGAGCCCGGCGCGGAGGTGTCTGTGGTTGACCGGCGAAGAAGGGAAAGAGGGGGCCGATGATAATCGCGAGTCCGTGGGGAAGGTGGTGGGCGGGAAACTGTCAGCTACGAGCTGAAGCTCTACTGAGTGAAAGACAGAATGCCTGTGACGGGAGAGGGCTAAGGCGCGTTATACTCGCCACTCGAATACGGTTGAACGACAGTCGCACAGAACCAGACTTAGAGGCGTCTCTCGGCAAGTGCCTCTGTATGCCCTCTCTGTCGCAATACCCCTGCGCCTATACGTTCTCGTCTGTGCTCCTCGTTCACCATGCCTACCTGCATGCGAAACCCTCTATAGTCCATGGCATTCATTTATGTGGAATAATTTATGTCTAGAAATCTAATCAAATGCTCATGAAATTTTGTATATACAGTTCAAGGAGCTCGGTCAGCTGACTGCTTGCTGCAGCAAGCACGCAACGGCATAAGCCGGTGCAACATACTCGGTTGCTCGATCAAGAACGGAGAAAACATCCAACATCATTTGCAGCGCTGAGCGCGGCTGTCGTCGTTCTTGGGTTACTGCTATTACTGATGATAATACCTGATGAGTTATCGAATGACTGTAGCTGTCGCGAACGGGTGGACCATTTGTTGCATTGGCTGTGGGATCGTCGCCGCTGCAGAAATGTGTTGCTGTGTTGCTGTGTGGACATGCCAGCGGTAGCAGTAGTGTCTACAGCCAGCAAATCAGGATACATTTCGACCGTAAACTCGTCGACACGCCTGCGTTTCCGCTGCTGGTTCTCATTGGTTGCAGATGTACCTGTTTTGACGATGCCATCAGTGGAGGAGATTATTTCAGGTATTAAGCAGCTGATGCACGGACAAGCGACCAATATACCGTTCATACATATTCATATTGCGAAGGGCACGGTATGTAAAAGAACATGTACAATGGTTCTTATTACTACAAGAGACTGCTCTGTATTGGTTCGCGGTTCGCAATCAGTTACTGGAACAATCCGTTTTGTACGCTTCGAAAGCTACTTAAGATACAATTCGAACGCATCAGTCATTCGATAACTCACCAGGTATTATCACCAGTAATAGCAGTAACCCAAGAACGAGGACAGCCGCGCTCAGCGCTGCAAATGATGTTGGATGTTTTCGCCGTTCTCGGTCGAGCAACCGAAGTATGTTGCACCGTCCCATGCCGTTGCGTGCTTGCTGCCAGAGCTCCTTGAACTGTATGTACAGATTTCATTAGCCTTTGATTAGATTTCTAGACATAATTAGTTCCGCGGAACGCGAACGGGAGCGGTCGCGGTGGGCATCCGTGGGGACGAGAGCCATCGGAGGATGACGAAGACGACGATGACGAAGACGACGATGACGAAGATGACCAGCGAAGCGTGTAGGCAGGATCGCCTAAATCGATACCAACTGAAAGGGAATGGACTCCGGTTCTGGTTGGGATGTCAAGATAGTTACACTGATGGCCGAGCGACTTAAGCCTGCTAACAACCTACAAGATGCAATACGATGACATAACAATCTAAACAACAACAACGACTTAATTAGTTATCCAGAGCCTAGGCGGCGCCGAAAGGTCGTACATTATCCCTAATCCAAATGCGTGTCCACGAGTCAAGTTAACGACTTAACAACTAACGCGAAAACCTAACAGCCCCCGCCTTTATTTGCCCCCGTTTTTATTACCTTCGCAAGTCATTTTCATCTGTGTTGTACACCGCTTTCTAGTCCGCCTACGTTCTGACCTGCGGACCACGTTAACCATGCCATCGATCTCACCGGCAGCAAGAATGATCATCCGCCCAGCGAAATGTGTTGCTATGAAGGTCGTGGAAATGGACATCTTACAGGGTGTTTCCACTTGGCCGAACACTAACACTAAGTTTGAATGTTCTTCGTCCTGGACTCGTCTCTCGTCGTTCTAAATGCATATATTGATACTACTAATGATAGTAGAAAATATTCATCAAACAAATTGGAGGTTGGGGCACTCCTGGCGGAGAACCGTAAGGCCTAGTGGAAACACCCCGTACACTAAGTCCACACTAGTCAGGGAACGAGCCGAAACTTGACCAGGTCTGCGGAAACTTTTCGTAATCGGGAGGCCCTTTGCGGAAAGGCTGCGGAAACTGCGGAAAGCTGCGAAAACTATAAAATGAATATGTAACGATGTTTTTTAGCTCTTCTCAGTGTGGCGATAACATGGACAGTCTGAAACCAGCTTGTGGCAGTGCGGTTCTGTCCGGTGGGATCTAGAGTCTGGTGGATTCCAATCGTGCTCGAAGGTAGAGCCATCTAAACGTATTACTGGGGGTGGCGGGGGCCAAGCGATCAACTATTGTGTGCCCACGCCCTTGACGGTGTTCACCCTGCCCCCTTCAAGCAGCCCGCCTCTCTTTGAACCCTGAGACCCCAGGCCTGAGCAGCCCTATCGTATACCACCCCCATAGTGTTGTTGGCTGACGGATTGCTCTGGGATGCTCAGAAATTGCCACTCGTATGTTACATGGGGTAAGGGCCCGGGCAGCCCTGAAACACTGAATAATAATCGTCTCCCTGTCCGTTGCGGAGCAGTGACATGTCTGCATGCCTACTCCACATACCCGTCCGGCATGTCTGCATGCCTCACGGACAAGTCTATGCTGACTGTGCATTAATCCAGTAATCGTCCAAACAATATGAATCCAAAATAAAAAAATCAAAAGGAATAAAAAAGGCGGGAGGGCTAAAGTATCTAAAAATGGCACCGCACAACGATAACTGCAACGACGTGGCTCTGTTCAACTTCAACCACGTTTACGGACATTGTGGAATCAATTATCAAAAACCCTTCTTCTGAGCAGAAACACAGTCAATCTCTATGACTTCGGCAGCCCCCAGGTCGGGGCCAGTGATTGTTGACATTTGACTTAATCTAATAACTCCAAAGAGTAAAACGCAGTCTTTAAATGGCAAACGCATGCCTGGAATCTGTTTTTCAATTTCCGCCGTACAGCAAACGCGGATATGCGGATTCTCTTTCCGCATTTCCAATCTGGGCTTCTCTGCGGAAAGCGTGACGAAACCAATTACGCAGGTTTCCGTTTCCGCAGGTTTCCGTTTCGGCTCGTTCCCTGACACTAGCGCACACTAAAGTTAATTGGACCTCAGACCTGCCATTAACTTTAGGACCTAGCACTAACTATTTGGCGGGCAACTTTTATGATCTGGATTGTCCCTTCTGACCATAGACTTTAGACGTAAGCAGCTATCTTTTTTCCTTCCTGCAAACGCCGCGTTGACTTGCGCACGCCCAACACCGACAGCCTCAGAACACCGCCATTTTGCAATGGAGCCCTCCTTCAATAACATTCAGCAAACATATACTACTCGTTTGCCTTCCTTTGCTGGCCGGCCGTTGCCAATGCACCTTGCGGACTTCATGGCGGACATCATGTCGCAGGCTGCGCCGCAGCGGATCTTAAATACGCGAATGCTTAACGCAGGTCACGTGCTTCCGCGACCTGTGTACATGCAGTCCCAGGCCGATTACGTCCCCTTGATGGACACCGCTCAGCCATCGGAGTACCTCCCGCTTTCACAGCAGGCACGTGTGCGCGCGTAGACTCCTGTCAATATCGTTTCTCGTGTCCATGTCAACGTTTCCCAGCCGCAGTCGGAAGAGTTGTTGACGCGTTTCTCCCCCTTTTCGCCCCCTGGTTTCTCCATTCCTTATGGCAGGAGAACTTCTTCGAGGACGACCAACTCACCAACGGCACCCCCCCACTCCGTCCCCAGCGTCTGGGCCCACAGTTCGCAGCGGCCGTCGGTGTCACACAGCCAAACCTTGTAGCAGCAACCAACGTACCCACCCAGCCCCAGCCTTCTAAGGCGCCCGCCAAGCAGTTTTCTCATCGGCGTAATGCCCAGCCAACAAATGGCTTGCCATCATTATCAGAAACAGCGGGGATCCTCTAGAG